ACACCAGTCAGAATAGTCATCATTAAAAAGTCTACAAATAATAGATGCTAGAGAGTGTGGGGAGAAAAGGGAACCCTGCTACACTGCTGGTGGGAATGTAAATTGGTGCAGCCACTATGGAAAACAGTATGGAGGTTCCTTAAAAAACTAAAACTAGAGCTACCATATGATACAGCAATCCCACTTCTGGGCAGAGAAGAAAGCTCTAATTTGAAAAAATACATGCACCTCAATGTTCGTAGCAACACTATTTACAATAGCCAAGACGTGGAAGTAACCTATGTGTCCATCGACAGATGAATGGATAAAGAAGATGTGGTGTATATATATACAAGGAACTATTATTCAGCCATTAAAAAGAATGAAATAATACTATTTGCAGCAACGTGGGTGGACCTAGAGAATATCATACTAAGTGAAGTAAGTCAACAGAGAAAGACAAATATTACATGATATCACTCATTTGTGGAATCTAAAATATAATACAAATGAATATATTTATAAAACAGAACCAGACTCACAGACATAGAAAACAAACTGATGGTTACCAAAGGGGAAAGGGAGTGGGGGGAGGAGTAAATTAGGAGTATGGGATTAACACATACATACTACCATATATAAAATAAATAAGCAACAATGATTTACTGTATAGCACAGGAAACTATTTCCAGTATCTTGTAATAACCTATGATGGAAAATAATCTGAAAAAATATATACCTGAATGACTTTGCTGTACACCTGAAACTGACACAATATTTTATATATATATATATATATATATATATATATATATATATATATATATATAATATTTGTTTATTTATTTGGTTGCACGGGTCTTAGTTGTGGCATGTGAACTCTTAGTGGCGGCATGCATGTGGGATCTAGATCCCTGACCAGGGATCGAACCTGGGCCCCCTGAATTGGGAGCGTGGAGTCTTAACCACTGCACCACCCGGGAAGTCCCTAATACAATATTATAAATCCACTATACTTCAATTAAAAAAACATCATTACAGCCTTTTCCAAAGATCCTTTGGTTATCAGAGCTTTGACTGGATCTTGAGCCATTGTTCTAGTCCTCATTGAGGTCTACTGTTCAGTCCAGCAGTGGAAATGCTGGGGCCCAGAGGGACTGAGTGACACACAGTCCCGCTGGTGTCCTACCTGCTCATGCTGCCTTACATGAAATACCCCTAACCCACACCCATCCGAGCACATCCCTCTGGGACTACCCTCTTCCAGAGCACAAAGGTTTTGCCCAGGTGCCACATTACATACCCTTCTAAATGAGGGTTCTTGGGCAGAGATGACTTGTTCCACCTTCTCTCTTAGTCTCTGTATTACTTCTTACCTTTCAGTTGGGCTGTGTGGAAAGAGCGCCAAGCTAGAGGCAGAAAACTGGGTTTGTGCTAAATGGTGTGTGATCTTGCCCTAGAAGGCTTATTCCCCACACCCAACCTCAGTTTTTTCATCTGTTAAAAGACGGACTTGCATTAAAATTGATGTTTACCAAAAGTTTTGAATGACATGAATAATGTTTGTGAATATAACGCTAAGTGAAAAAAACAAAGCTGGATCCAAAATTATATATATACAGTCTGATTCCAGTTCTGTAAAAAATTTATGGAAAAAACCCTACAAGGATACATACGTATAGGTGTGTGTGTGTGTGTGTGTGTGTGTGTGTGTGTGTGTGTGTGATCACATTGGTAGATTTAGGTGATTTTGTTGTTTATTTAGTTTTTCTGTACTCTTCAGAAAATTTTTTATTGATACAATGTGTTACTTTTAAAACTGGAAAAATATATTTAAAAAAAATGGAGGGACTTTCCTTGAGACTCCAACAGTCCAAAGCTGCGGGAACATCTCAACAGCCTGAGGAACTAAATAAAAACCAGGAGAATGAAGTTCACATTGTTTATCCCACCTTTTCATGGGCATTCAGGGAAGGGTGATTTCAGCCCTTCCTGAGCTGACATCCTGACAATGACATGTTGCTCAAGGCTCTGAGCTGACCTCTGGACTCAGTGAAACCCCTGTCTGCTGTGCTTATGGACCCAACCATGCCCCCATCTGGCTCTGGGAATGAATAACTTAAAGCAGGTTGTTCTAGATCTGAGCTTGGAGCTTGATCTGATAGGCACAAACAGCCATATCAAATGAGAATAGAGTTTCTTCTTCTTGGGCAACAGGAAAAGGGTGGAATTTTCAACAGATGGCCTGATCTAAGGTGATTCCAGAACTTGGCTCTTCCTTGTTGGCAGAGGCCCTGCTCTGTGGTGTCCACCTGTCCCTACATTCTTGTTTTTGGTGAATAGGGGCATCTAATTAAGACATTCATGGAAGGTGGCCCAACAGGAAAAGGATTTGCTACTTAACATCACAAGTTACAAAAGAGGATGAAAAAATGCTGTACATCTCCCTGGGCCAGCAGTCAGATAACTGCCCTTTCATGACTGGACCACAGGAGACTGATATGTTGCATGCACGGGAAAACAGTGCATGACAAATCATTTCTCCAGGAGAAAGTCTCTGGAAGTTGTTCTGAGACCCCAAATGATACAGATATTGCAAATAAACATGGTGGTCAAATAAGCCAGCCAATGTCTATTATCATCATTCATCATCTTTTCTCAAATATTACATAATGACAGGATCCCCACTAAGTCTTTGTTTGGTACCTTGGAAACTTCAGCCACTGAAACAAACCTTGCCCAGACAATTTGGAACCTCAGGGAATGAAGTGTAACTTCTCTCAGGTTCCTCTTGAAGTTCCAGATACTTGGACTAAGAACATCTCTGGTAAAGAATCTGGGTAAAGAAAAAGATGCTTTTCTTTGATTTTTTTTTTGCTGAGAGTTTAGAATAATCTCAAAGCTTCCAGTTTGAAACTTTCCTTTCTACCATGAGAATGATTTATGTCATAAAATGCCCTCTCTATTTCAAGTAAGATTTAAGACTTATTTATGACTTTAATCCATTTGACCAAGGGGCCCTAGACCTAGCACGCCTGGGTGAGATGCTGGGCAGAGGGGTGGGTGAGCCTATACTTTGCACAGTCTTACCCTGCTGCTGTCCCTGAAGGCCTCAGGAAGGCACCAATACTCTTAATCCTTGCTTTCTGGAGCTCTGTGAGAAGTCTGGATTTTGCTGAGCTTATGGTCCAGAGGCAATTCTCCTTTCCCAACCATGTTCTGCTTTCCATTCAGAGTGAATTTTTGAACTCATCAGTCTTTCAGTTATACACTGAAAACTCTATAATCCTCTAGTTGCCCTTTCGGCAATGACTGGAAAAAAGATGAGAACTACATCTAGCACCCACTCGAAGAAATTCTCTCATCCTAAGTCTCTGTTACAATTAGTTCTCATTCAGTTGTATGATCTCTTACCTATTCTGCCATGTGTGTATGTATGTATATAATATATATTGAAAGATACAAGAAAACTGCATCTTTATCCCCTGGTCACATCCCAAGAGCTGGAATTCACCAATGTGCATCAATCTTTTCCAAACAATAATGCAAAGGAAATAAGGTCTGTCTCTCTGCGTCTTTGTATGTGAAGCTCCAAGAGCAAGCTGGGAGGGAGACAGTCCCTGAGAGTCCTTCCATGAGAAGAGGATGCCCATCTGACACAATTGGAGATTGAGGGTGCAGACTGAAGGAGATCTTGGCAGACATGATGAGTTGAGAATAGAGTGTACTTCCGCAGGGTGGCCTGAATAATAATTGCTAATATTTACTGAACATTTACTCTGTTCCAGGCACTATACTAAGCATTTTACACACAAAACTCACTTAACCTTCATCTCAACACTTACTGTCATCTCATGTTACAGATGGGGAAACTGAGGCACAGAGACATTGTTCAAACATACCGAAGGTTTCAGAGCTAGGTGTTGTCAGCGCTGGGAGTCAAACCCAGGAAGTCTGTCTCTGAAGTCCAGATTCTTAACCAATATGCTTATTACCTGACCCAGCTTAGGTTGATAGTGTGCAGGAAATTTGTGCTATATCTTAGAACAGAGGTCAAGGAGGATAATCTTTGCTCTTCCCAGTTTTACTAGGAGCTTCTGCACTTGGGACTGTGCCTGTCAATAGCCTGTCAACAGAGGAATGGCCTCCCATTGATAAATGTGCCAGGGAAGTTTCCACATCAGTCACGACCCAAGAGACGGTGCATGGACAGCCAGGCATCATGATGGTGGCTCCACTGGGAATGCAGCCTTGATCATTCCACTAGGACCTAACCAAACTGGTGCCTTTACGTGGAGACAAACCTCAGTCCAGGCACCTCAAGAGAGACCATTGCTTCCTATCTTGGTGCAGGAAAGAGCAGCAGCTTGGAGGATGGACAATCCTGGATTGAATCCCTAGCTCCTCAGCTCGCACAGTGGTATGTAATCTCTTACAGCCTCAGCTCCTCAGTGTGTGACGTGGCATGGTTACAAAGGCTAAGGTGAAACATGCAATAAAGCAGCTGCCTGGCAAATAGATCTTCAAAACAACATTAGCTGGCTTCCTCTTGCTCCTCTCAACTTGTTCAAACAAGTGCATGTAAATATTGTGGGAAATCAACCAGGGCACACTCTTACCCTCTTTCCGTAACCCGCTTCAGCCATTCACTGGTAGCGTCATCTCCACCTCAGCCCTACGGCCATTTCTTCCCATACACTCTCTGTCTCTCTCTTTTCCTCTGCCCACCCCGCCCCCCATCGTACACTTTCTCCTTTTCCCCTCTTTGGCTAGGCAGACCCGTCAGAGGTAAACATCTAATAAGCTGACCGAAGTCCTGACCTGCCCTGTTTTGGGACAAATGAAGCAAGAACCTTCATCCAGCCTCAGAATCCCAACACATTTGAGTGTCAGGGGCCCCAGAGGTGGAGGCAGACAAGATCTGCTCAAAGGCATACAATTACATGGAGACAAAACTGCTGGTTAGATTTTCCCCCTTCCCCAAGGATGGGGTACAGCCCACTCCTCACCTGAAGACTTACCCATATCAGGGGCACAAGCCTCGTCTGCTTTGGCAGCATTATCTGCATTCTGTATGTTGGAATCTGGGGAATAAAAAGAAGATGTAGTGACCAGCCCATGCCCTCTAGGTTTATAGAGAGGCAGGTAGGAGACTTTCCCACAAAGTCTGGATCACTTGGGTTATGCCCATGTCTCTGGTGTCAGCTGGGTTCATGCTCACGTACTGGGGTTGGTAGTGTCTCCCCCATTATAGCCCAAACTCCAGAAAGACAGTAACCACACCCTTCCCCTCCTGTGACTCTCCCAGGCTAGTCCCAGCCTGGGCACAAGAGCTGAATGTGCTCTCCAGGGACTGGCAGCCTCTGTGGAAGGCCCACCCACCCCTGCCAGACATCAGTTTGTGCCTCCTCTTCCCCCCATCCTCTCCTCTGATCCTGAGTGGCAGGAATTATGCCCTTTTTATTTCCCTTACTGAGAGATCCATCAGACAGGCCTTCCTGAAAGGGTAGGAGTCTTGGTCCCCTGGTCTCCATTCCCCCCTCTTCCCCATAGGGAAGTTACCAGGCACAGAGGACCATCTAGGAGTGCAGGCTGAACCTGTGGTAAGTGGGTTAGAGCTGCAAAATCTCCCTTCCATCTTGGGGAATGCTGGTCCATGTACCTGGCCCACTGGCTTCGCTGTTGCTGGCCCCCTCCTTTGGGTGGGACAGGGTCTCCTGTCTGGGCTTCTGGCTGAAGGCCAGGAAGAGGTGTGTGCTCAGTGGCTGTGGAAGGTCCACCTCCAGGTACGCCCTCATGAACAGCTTGAAGACGTCATAGCTAATAGGCTGAGAAGGGATAAAGAGGGAAAAATCAGTGGAGAGAAGTGAAGAGACAGAGGACGGGAGAGGAGAAGGAGGAATGGGGGAGCTGGCAATGGAAAGGGAAGCAGAAGGGAGTGGAGTGATTGGTGGAGGCAGGAATGAAAAGGCCTGGGAGTCGACAGAGGGTGACAAGCATAGGCAGCGGGGGTAGGACGTGAGGAAGAGAAGACACTGTTGGCTGTGTGTTGGGGCTTGGTGGGCCATGGAACCATGGGAGGCTTTCGTGACAAGGCATGTCTAAGTTTAGGAAGAAAAGGGGGTGCTGAAGACTGAGCACTGGGAGTGAGGGCTCTGCCTGAGTCGGGGACCACATGGGGGTCTTGTCTCTAATGGGCAGGACTAGGTCAGTGCCCTGGAAACCTAGGTAAGATAAAGAAGAATGGTAGGGAGAGGGAGGCAGGGAGGACAAGACAGGGGTATGGGATTAAGAGATAAAAACTACTATGTATAAAATAAAAAGCAACAAGGATACATTGCACGGCACAGGGAAATATAGCCATCACTCTGTAATAACTTTAAATGGAGTGTAATCTATAAAAATATTGAATCACTATGCTGTATACCTCAAACCAATATAATATCATAAATGAACTGTATCGCAAAAAAAAAAAAAAAAAAAAAA